TTCTTATAAGAATTATATAACTTTTTGTAACAAAATTATAAATAAGGTCAAAATATAGATTAAAGTTTTACTTAAATGTTTAAATATAGGCTAAATTATAGTTTTGATCCCTCTATTTTGTCAAACTCACGAAATCAGTCCCCATATTTATTTTTTAAATAGTTTGGGTCCTCTATTTATTTTTTAGATACGTGACATACTTTTATTGACTTTGCATAAGAAATGTTTCCATTGCATTTTCAACTACATTTTATTCCTTTAGTCGTCTTCTTTGATCATCTTCTTTCTCTCTCAACTTGTTCATTCGTCTTCCTCGTTTACAAAAAATGCTCTTTATGTTTTCTCTCTTTCAGAAAGTATGCCACCTATACAAAATAAATGACACATCAATGTTTTTTAGACAGAAAATGGACATGGGGGACCAAAACTGTTTAAAAATTAAATAGAGGGGTTGTGTCGCACCTCGTAAAACAAAATACAACCTTCGCGATGGGACGCGGAAAAAGTTGTTCGAACAGAGTCGCGATCGAACTTTATTCATTCCAAGAAGGAATAGGAAAATATCGAGAAAATCTTTAGAAAAAGAACATGGGCATCACAACCAAATTCTAGGTTCGAGAGTCGATTATGCAAAGGGAAGGTATTAGCACCCCCCATGTCTGTTGTACTCAACGGGAACCTCTTAGTTCAATTTGTGATGAATGTTAGCTAATGTTATTTGCTTTCTTCTAAGCGAGTAATGTGAGAAGTAAGAGAAAAAAACAGGTTTCGATTACTAAGGGAAAATGAGTAGTTTTATTATTATGGTGCTCGCCAAGGATTGGGGTTCTTGTGCCTACATATTATCATTTGCGAAATGAGAAATCAGAGTATCCGTAATTCGGACTACAGGAAAAAGTTTGGGTGGGAAAAATAAAAGATAGAAGGTAGATAGGTAAAAAAAACTAAAAGGTAGAAAAATATGGAAAAAAAGAAGGTAGCTCGCCAAGAATTGTGGTCCTTTTGCCTACGTATCTTCATTTGGAAGAAAATGAAGAAGTAGAGCATTTGTAGTTCGTGGAACTAAGATTTGTTAGTTTAAGTTTTTTTAATGAACGAGTATTTAGATATCATTCTAACGGTTAAACGCTGCTTGTGCACGCAATGGGAGACTTAAAGTGTTTGTTTGTGTTCGCGTTAGAACGAACTAAACAAAGTTCTTTGCAAAAGATATTTGAGTTGTGAATAGATTAAAGTGTGTTAAGGGTGAACTCGTGTCTAGATCACATTCTAATAGTAAAACATGGCTTTCTTGCTCGCGGAGGAGGCTTAAGCGCAAGTTTGTACGCGTTTGAAATGATTAGACAAATGTTTTTTTTAGAAAAGATATGAATTTTGATTAAAGTATTTTAAGGGTTTTGATCGTACGATGAGAGAAAGTAAGGTTCGATTGGTTGAGTATTTTAAAGGAGAATGACGATTATTTAATAAGAACGAGACGCGAGCCTCGAAAGCTATTAATCGAGATATTGCGGGAATGCTTGAGCCCAACGACACATTTTTCATTCGATTAATTATGAAAATATGTTCGATGAATAATGAACTTTCCAAAGATTATCCAAAGGTACCATATGGAATGCTAGACTCCATTGGTCCCTCTTTTGTCCAAGTAATTAGGGAAAGTGTTTTTAGAAACGAAAGACTAAACGAAAAACAACCCAAGGCATGTGCCTCAAGAGCAATCGTTCAAAAATTCAAGAAATACGAGACTCCAAGAACTTATTTCTTTCGTAATTTAATTAAGAAAAATGTTTCAAAAAGGTTAAGTGTTTTGATTTGATTTGAAGAGAATACTCGATGTTGATCAAGGTTTAAATTTGCGTGCGAAACGATTGGAGAAAGGAGAACCTAATGGTGTAGATGAAGGTTGATGGCGACAAAAGACGCTCGACTTACAAGGGTGTTAAAATGGGCTCGACATTGAATCGAGAACTATTTCATCCTTTTTAAAAGTAGTTTGATATGATTGAGTGTTTTGAAGTTTATTGAGAAAAATGTCACTTGACGTTAGATCAAGGGTTTTATTAAGAAAGTAGCACTTGACGTTGGATCAAAGGTTTTATCATTTTTGAAAGATTAATTTCAATGGTTATTTTGTCTTTTTGAATTAACAATCATGCATTAACTAAATAAAATAAAACAATAATAATAATAATAATAATAATAATAATAATAATAATAATAATAATAATAATAATAATAATAATAATAATAATAATAATAATAATAATAATAATAATAATAATAATAATAATAATAATAATAAATAAAAGGGAGGAGAATGAATTATTAATACATAAGTAAAAATAAATGACATGAGAGAAATGATAAAATAAGGATGATGCATTATTGTGAAGTAAAATAAAATAAAGCATAAAAAGAAAGTAATAAAAGAAGTATCACCTCCGTTCATTTTTATAAGAGACAACTTATTTTTTAGGTTCATTGAATAATCAATGTATCTAGTCTATAAGCTGACCAAATACATTGATTATTCAATGAACCTAAAAAGTGAATTGTCTCTTATAAAAAGAAATGGAGGTATTACTAGTTAATTAATTATTGAATTAAAAAAAAGTTAAATAAAAACATTTTTGGGTTTTTAAATATGTGAGCAATTGAAAGTTAATAGGTGCATAAAAAAATAAAATCAAAATTGAAAATAAAATAAGTAAAATAAGAAAAGAAACAAAAATAAGAAGCAGCGGGGTGGTAAGTCAAACAGTGTGTAAAAAGAAAAATAGAAGAAAAATAAAGACCCAAAGGGCGCTTGGGCCTAGCTAGGAGCCAAACATAAAAGGAGTGGATACATGTCAGGCTACGATTGAGAAATTTTACCCCATACCCATACAATTATACTCATACCCCTACACTAAAATTTTTTGGACCAAAATATCCTCGTATAAAAATTTATAATTTTTTTTCATTTGTTCCGGAAGACTTTTTGCAAGTCTTCCGGTTCATATTTTTTTTATTTGTTCACCGGAAGACTTTTTGGAAGTCTTCCGGTTCACATTTTTTTTCATTTGTTTACCGGAAGACTTGTTGTTTTTTTCGTTTGTTCACCGGAAAACTTCCAAAAAGTCTTCCAGTTCATGTTTAAGATTTATTAATTTCATATAAACACCATTTTAGTAAACTTTTATCTATTATGCTTAATATATATAAATTCTAGAGAATTTTTTTTAGAAATATTTTCTATTTGCTATAATTATCATAATATTATCACATTAGTATTATATATTTAGAATTTGCAAACAAATCTTACTAAACTTGCAAATTTACCGTATTCAATATATTTAATCAAATGAAAACATATGTGATAAATCAATAATGTATTTTAATTTAAAATGATCACAATAATATAACTTGCAAAAAACAAAAACTAAATCGAACTTTTAATTAAATAAATCAACCAAATTAAAATATAAGTAATAATTTCACTTTATTTAATATTTTTAATAAAATAAAAATATAAGATATAAATAAATAATATATTTTATTTAAAGCAGGCACAGTATAAAACATACAAAAAAGTTATAAATAAAAAAAGATCAAACTAAAATGAAAAACAAATAATAAATTTATATTCTTAATTTTTTTTAATTAAATAAAAATATGGATAATAAAACAATATTGTTTTATATTTATAATTATGTGAGTTCTAAAGTATAGATTAAATATTATATTCATAGTAGTATTCAAAATTAAATAATCAATAAAACTATATCAGTCCTATAAATAAAACATATTATTTGTGTGTTCTATTATTGTGATTATTTTAAATAAAATACATTATTAATTTATTACTTATATTATTTTGCAAGTTAACTTATTGTGATCATTTTAAGTTAAAATACATTATTGATTTATCACATATGTTTTCATTTGATTAAATATATTGAATAATGTAAACTTATATCCTATATTTAAATTTATTTTATTTATTAATTTTCAAGATTAATAAGATATTTGAGAAAATTCTACGATTATGATCATTTAAAATAAATGATTTTAATCTCATAGTATTCTAATAATTATAGCAAATAGAAAATATTATGGAAATGATTCTCTATTTATAGAATTTTTATATATTAAGTATAATAGACAAAAATTCACTAAATTGGTCTTTATATAAAATTAATAAATCTTAAATATTAATTAAAAAAAACATGAACCGGAAGACTTTCAAAAAGTCTTCCGGTGAACAAACGAAAAAAAATATAAACCGGAAGACTCGCAAAAAGTCTTCCGGTGAACAAACGGACAAAAATGTGAACCGAAAGACTTCCAAAAAGTCTTCCGCGAAAAAAATATGAACCAACAAATGAAAAAAATTATAAATTTTTATACGAGGATATTTTGGTCCAAAAAATTTTAATGTAGGGGTATGGGTATAATTGTAGGGGTATGGGGTAAAATTTCCCTAGGATTGAATCTAAAAATTGCTTATGAACATCAACCATTGTTCATCTTCTTTTGGCCATAACTTGTTCAATTTTTCATGGAATCAAGCAAATCAATAATGAAAATTCGTCCAGTTGATCTCACGAACTACATGAAATGCTCAAAATTAAAAAAAAATTAAAAACTCATTTCATCACTTTTACTTATGGAGGTTCAAGAAAACTTTTCAACTCTTTTGTTGGGTTTTGAAGAGAGATATTTGTAAATTAAGAAAATTATTGTGTTAAAATTTTTAATTCAATTTAAAATAAAATTATCTAAAATTTTAATATATGTTCTAATTCTATCCCATAGTTAATTATATAGTTTTCTTTTCTTTCGTATATTAGTTCACACCAACTATGTTTTATATATTATTAGTTAAATAACAGAAAAACTTAAATTAAATCGTAACAACAAAAAATTTGTATACAAAAATTATAACGATAACTATAATTACTCAAACTAGAGAATAAACTCATAGATTAAACAAAAATTTAGATAAAATTAAAATTTCAAAGTTTAAGCGACAAATCCAACTCAATTGATTGAGCTTCGGACACTTCTTCCATGTTAAGAGAATGATTAACATGATCAGTTGTGCCAACTACAATTGAATTCTCCTCTTCCAAATTTGACTTATTAACAATATTTATGGAAGTCTCTCCAACACCAACTTCTAAATTCTTAAGCAAATTCTTCAAAGTTGGAGTAGCAGTATTTCCATTATTTACATTAAGACTCTCATTCTTCAACCCATCAAGAAGAGAATAGGTTTTCATCTCTTGCATTGGTCTCCATGCAGAAGTATGACAATACTTAAAAGAAGGTGGAATCCAGGAATAGCTTGACCTTGGCTTGTGAATCATAGATTCCAAATTAATTGCAAGTGCTCTATTATAGGATCTAAATCCATGATAAGGAAATGTCGAAAGACTTGGATAATGAGTGTAGTTAGGAAAATGATGACGAGTCTCAAAACCTGTGTTTATCTCTTTGCCATGTTTTGCGAGTGCACGCTCTTTTTTATGTGCATTTTGGTGTCCTCCTAATGCTTGCCCGGTTGAAAATTGATTTTTACAATTATTGCATGAAAACAATTTCAATGACTTGTTTTTGGCATGATCTTCTTTATTGGACTTATTATTACCCAAATTTGATAAAGATGAACCCACCACCATGTTTTTTGTAGAGTTGATAAAATCATGTTCTTTCAACTCGGAGAACTTGAAAGTTGAGGTGTTGTTGATGGTGTTCTCTTCTGAAGTGGCAGAGAATTGATCAGAGATTGCATCCATTAGTGTTTGAATGATTGATGATTGATGAAAAGAGGGGCATAAGGAGAGTTATATATACATATATGATATTTAAGATATTAATTAATGCAAATATCTTCATAAATAAATAAGTAATGAGATTTGATGGATTGAATTGTGCTATTATTATTTATTTCCTATAAAATAATAAATTGAACTGATGTGAATGAAGATTTGCACTGTTATGTAGGATATTAGTAAATAAGATTTAAATAAGATTCCTAAAAATCTTTGCCCAATAATGATTTTGATAATTGAAATATTTCATAGTGGAGTTGTGACATGTTATTAGTATTAGTACACTGTTCCATTTATGTAGTTCAAAACTTCAAATAACATCAAATTAATTAAAATTATTGAAAAATTAAAATCTAAAATACAAGAATTTAAATAATGGGTACAGTTAAAATAAAACGTACTTCACAAAAATAATAAATTATCTTTGCTCCTAGATTTTATATATATAAATACTCCAATTTCTTGCGAATTTAGCTAAAAATCCGCAGCAAATATGTTTTCTGCGATTTTTCTGCTATTTTTCCTTCCCATCTAAAACCTTGTAAATTCGTAGGTAAGGTCACAGGAAACAAAATCCGCAGGTAAAATATCCATAGATAAATTCGCAGGAAACTAAATCCTCAAGTAGTGCATTTCTAGAATAAAAAAATTAAACGAAATTTATTTTACTTTCATTGTTGTTATCAATCATCTAATGAGAACGGCCTAATAATTTCACATTACTGATGCGACAAATAATTTTGTGAAAATAGGTATTACAAATGTACAAATATACTCTTATCGCAGGTGAACAAATTATAGCATATTACACACTAATATCATATTCAGTGTTATACTTGTCACCTTTATTTCATATTCTTTTTTTCAACCTAAATCTATGATCCTAAACGAGGGCTATAAAGAAGGTTCATACAAATCTGACTCCTGAAATTTTACTTAGAAGGAATACTCACATGTACACCTCTTTCAACTTGACTCTCAAGAATCTTATGGAATGTTCCTTTCTCAATAACTCGGAGTTCAAGAGCATCAATACCTTAGACTTTTCTAGAAGTAACATAATCTGAATCAATAAAATACTTATCCAAACAGTTGCAACACACAACATGCGCTTCATCACTTGCTTCAGCATTGATTTTCCAAAAGATGACATAGTGACCTGGTTTATTGGATAAATCTATGTAGTTAGTGTATAATATCAAATTACATGTTGTTTCGTTTAAAACATGTATAAATCATAATATATTAAATCAGAAGCGTGCACTCTAATGATGACACTTCAACATAATTTGTGTCCTATCACCCATATTTCTATGTAGCATCTTTTAAATTTCATCCTCACTTCTTATCACTTCACAAAAGATATAATCACATAGTATTAGAGGTCACATGTTTAAATCCCAACAAAATACAAAAAATATATTAATTTAAAAATTATTTATTTGATACATAATATTTTTATAAATCATATAAAATATCATTTTCATTCTTTTTGCAATATTTTGTAATTATAAAAATTAAAGAAAACAAATTTTAATATATATTTTTAATATAATTTTATATTTTATATTATTCATATCATGTCAGACAATCAATATGGGGTATAATTATAATTTTCTCATATTTTATATTTTGTATTTTTAGTATGGAGTATAAATTTTTTTTAGTATGGAGTATAAATTTTCTCATATTTTATATTTTGTATTCATTAGTTTCCTCATATTTGTTTTTTCATAGTGACTATATGGAGTATAATTAAAAAAAATAGATATAATAATGAGTAAAATAAGAACTATAATATTTTAACTAATATCAACAATAAAATCATATAAAATTTTATATTATCATTAATAACAAATTAATATAATTCATTTCAGAAAAATAATATAAAAAATATTTATTATTCAAATAATTTATTTGCATAAAATTTATAAAACAATATTTATACTTTCTTGCTATTATTTTTAAACTAGCGTCCAAACGGGCACGTCCGTGCCCGTTTGTCCGCTTTTTTTATTGCGCTAACGCGCAAAAATATTAACAGCGTATTTTTTTATAAATTTAATTTTACCATAAACTATTTATATTGATTTTAATATATACTATTTATATGATGAAACATTAAGTTTTGTATTTATATATTGCTGTAGATTAGTCAAAAGTATAAGAAGATTTAGATAGAAGAAGAACAAAAATCTTTCTCACAATTTATTATGCAACTAAACCTTAACATTAACACGGATATTGAGTTACATTATTGCTTAATAGAAAGGTCAACCAAGGAATCAAAATCAGAAATATCTCTCGTTTCACTGCAAAATAAATGAAGTAAATTTTAGTAGTCAACCGTATAGTGTAATCTAGTAAGTACACGCCTAGTATGAGATTGCAAAAGTATAGTTGAATGATTAAACATAATAGATAAATACCTGAGTTTGTGACAGCAAAATTTCTTTAAAATCTATATTTTTTGTAAACTCCCTTTTTCCCCTACTTACTCTTCCGTCTTTAATTAGCACTCTTGTTGCAGCCCGCGAAACACCTTTTGATAAAGCAACATACAATTGTCTGTAACTGAAAACATATCGTGGAAGATAAATTCCGACATTTGGAATTGTTTGTCCTTGGGATTTATTTATAGTGAGTGCAAAGCTTTAGTTTGACAGGAAATTGTTTTCTAATAAGCACAAAAGGAAGTCTCGCACCTTTAGTGGTTTTGAGCTTAATTCTTGGCAAGAAAGCTCTTTTTCCAGCATTGTGGCCTGTAAGTATTTCAACATCAAGCAAATTCATAAAAAAAACCACGACATAACAACCTTGTCCCATTACACAACCCAAATTTAGGGTCTATGTTTCGCAACAACATCAGTGGAGCCCCTATTTTTATCTTTAAAATATGTGGCGGTAAAGCACCAGGAGCAATCGTGTGCAAGTATTCTTGTTGATATAGATTATGAGTATCATCTTCAACCTCATAAAAAGATAACAAAATATGTTCATCTCCAGGGAATTTATCAATAATCATGTCATTCAACATATGCACATCACAATTTTTTGGAGTAAGTATGGCTCTCTCCACCATATATGAAGCATCCCATCCATGATTTTCTAATTGGGGGAATGTATGTTGTATAAACTTTTGTATGGAGCTTTCTCCTTCCCAAGGTATTACAATTTCAGCAGGCATTCTGACCATGTCATCCTCTTTAGTGGGTTCATTACCATCTACAATCCTCATTAGAAACTGCGCAAAGTCCTAGTCATGAATTGATCGCATGTTTTGGTGCAAATGTAGGACCTTTGTGGTGGCCCATAATCGAGACCTAACAATACATGCTGAAATCAGTTGTCCTCTATTTCCTTTTTCAATAACTGGTAGCACCTGACGAAAATCTCCGCCCATGATCATTATTTTTCCACCAAATGGAGCATTGTTATTCATGATGTCTTGAAGTGATCGATCCAATGCTTCTACACAATATTTATTTATCATGGGTGCTTCATCCCAGATGATTGCACTGGTTATTCTAATGAGTTTTGCAAGGTCAGAATTCTTTGCTATTTTACAAATAGAATGGGGCTCTATATCAATGGGGATCCCAAATCGAGAGTGTGCAGTTCTACCACCAGGTAATAATGTAGCAGCTATACCATAGGAAGCTGTTGCTAAGACAATTTCATTATTACGCCTCAAATTTGCCATTATAGTTCGATAAAGGAAAGTTTTACCTGTCCCTCTAGGACCATCAACAACAAAAATTTGACATTGTTTTTGGTGGATGGCGTTCATAATTATATTGTAAGCACTCATCTGGTCATTATTTAACTTTACAACAGATTGAACGTCTTCGTTTGGAATTTGGACCGATAATTCTTCCTGAATAATTGTTGGCACTCCCCCGACTTCATTTGTTTCCGTTGTCAATATTGGAAGATCGTAGTTTTTTATTAGTTTTCCATGCAGTAGCAAAAGATCCATCAATTCCCGCAATAACATATTTTCAAAGTTATCCCTCACAACAACATTTGTCATTTGATAATCCTCCACCATGTAGGGATAAAACTCATTAAATAGGCCTCTAACATCAGTTGGTTCAAAAAAAATTAATATAGTCACAAACAACCTTCGTAAAGCATATGGCATACGCATATTTGATGCTTCAAGCAAACATTCACGAATACTATTATCACTCTCTAATAACCCCCAATCCTCAGCTGATTTTTTAAATGTGAAAAAAGATGCCCCATTATGTGTAAGATGGTATTCCCAGCTTGTTGGACCTCTTAAATGAGACAAATACCGCAATATGATTAAAATATACGTTACTATAACATATAACAAATACCGCAATATGATTACTAATCTCATATTGTATATTACATAATATGATAATACCTATGTTATACTGACTATGTGAAATAACATATGTATTATTAAGTAATTAATATATCTATATTATAACATTAAGTAATAGGACGATATAATTACTTAATATAAAACTATGAAATATAATGTATTATGATTAAAATAACCTTATATATAGTAACTTAACTTGATAAACATTAAGTTAAGAGCTTATGTTTAAAATCTTGCGGACATATGAAAACAATATGTCTATTTAATCTATCTTATTATAACGATAGGACAAAATATTACTAAAATCTCATATGTTAATATTAACATTAAAAATCTTTTTCAATTTTTGTACATAATCTATCTCAGCCATTGATATCCATTTCACTAATTTTGGAGGATGCAAGATGCATTGCATTCTGACAAAACTTAAAATAAAAGGATAATTTACAATAACTTTTTGACCATAAAAAGGGTCTGCCTCAAGTAAAATAATGAATAATAATCATGTGTATTTGTTCCCTCTAAAAACACCAAATCCCTAAAACCAATATCCTACAACAGACAATAAGAGATTGTCATTATTACTCTACCTATGTTTGACAATTAC